TCTAGAAAATACGGAAGCTAATAATAAAACCAGCTACTATAAATAATTATGACCAACATGGTAGCTAATTGTCCTCTTGAACTTTTTAAATATATGAATGCTTTTACACAGTTGAGATTTTACTTTTTAAACTACTCTGTATTCTTAACATTTCATAAGTATTTTTCTATCATTAAAATATCTTTATAAACATCATTTGCAATGGCTCCCTTATACTATTTCTTTATGTGAATAAGCCATAATTTTTTTACCATTATCTTCATGTAGCATTACAATCAAATATAGAATATTTCCATCACTTCCCTTTGGTAGTCAACCCTTCTCCCACCTCCAGCACCTGGCAACTGCCTGTTTTCTATCCCTATTGTTTCGCCTTTCCAGAATGTCATATAAATGAAATTATACAGAATATAGCCTTTTGAATCTGGCGGTTTCCAATTAGCATACAGCAATTGAGAAATTCATCCATGTTATTGTATATGTTAGTACTTCGTTCCTTTTTTTGTGGCTGAGTAGTATTCTATTGTATAAGGAATCCCACATTTTATTTATCTATATACCAGTTGAAGCACATTTGGCTTATATCCAGTTTTTCTCAATAAGGAATAAAGCCACCATAAACATGTACATACAAGTATTTGAACATAAATTTTTCATCTCTATTGGGTAAATACTTCAAAGTGGAATCTCTGGATTGTATGGTAAGTATATACTTAACTTCATAAGAAACTGCCAAATTATTTTCCAAAATGGCTCAACCATTTTGTATTCCTACCAAGATTGTATGAAAATTTCAGTTGTTTCCCATCTTTACTGCTCCTTTGTATTGCCAGTTTTGTTTTTGTTATTTTGTTTTGTTTTTTAAGTCATTGTGATAGATGTATAGTGGTAATTTATTGTGATTTTAATTTGCATTTCTCTGAAAAGTGCAAAAACAAAAAAAAATGCCTAATAATTATTCTAATGAAATTAAGAGTTTTTGTGAATTCAAATTTATTGATCCTTTTATTTTTTTTCACTGTGTGGAAAATTCCTTCCCAATGAGAAATCAGAAAAAAAAAATTCAGTTATATTTTTAGGATTTTTTTTTTGAGGATTTGCTCCAAATTACCTACATTTTAAATCCATCTGAGCACATTAGTTAGTTATATGATGGTAGTATCTTTATTCACTGGAAAAAAAAAATGGCCAGGCAGCTCTCTCTGTAACCTTTATTGACTAACCTATTCATTCCATTTATTTGTGAAGCCTCCCTTATTAATAAATAAGAGGGTCTATTCCCAGGCAATCAAATCTGTTTCATTCATCTTCCATCCATTTGACAATTACTTAAGTACTTAACTATGTGCCAGGCACTATTCTAGATTCTGGGAATTCAATGGCCAACTAAAAATACGGGCCTCAAACTCTCAGAGCTTATATTCCAGTTGGGGGAGATAGATAATAATTAAATAAATTAATAATTGTATAATATTTTAGGTATTGGTAAAAGCCAAGAAGGAAAGTAAAGCAGGGTAAGGGGCATGTAATGATGAGCAAGTGCTACTTTGAGTAGGTTGGTAAGATGAACCTCTCTGAGGAAGAAATATCCAAGACATAAATGTATTAAGGTTGTGGAACAAGAAGATACCTAGAAGAGGAGCATTCCAGTCAGTCACCTGAAAACGCAAAGACTTTGTTATGGGAATGAGCTTGACATATTGGGGAAACATCAAGGAGGCAGTTGTGGATGAAACTAACTGATAGTGAAGGGAGTGGAGAGGAGGTGAGAAGGCCATTTAAAGGCCACAGGTCACACAGATCCTTGTAGACAATTTATATTCTAAATCAGATGAAAGCTATTGGAAGATTCTGAGCGGAAGGCTGATGTGATCTGATTGGCATTTTACAAATACCACTCTGGCTACTGTGTAGACAATTGTTTAATACATCTTTTTTTTAATAGTTTTTTTTTAAAGAGATCTTACTTATTTATTCACGATAGACATAGAGAGAGAGAGAGGCAGAGACACAGGCATAGGGAGAAGCAGGCTCCATGCAGGGAGCCCGACATGAGACTCGATCCCGGGACTCCAGGATCACGCCCTGGGCCAAAGGCAGGCGCTACACCGCTGAGCCACCCAGGGATCCCCATTTAATACATCTAATTTAAATAAAAATGCTTCTACGAAAAGTAAAATAAGTAAATAGAAGAAATATATTTGGATATAGAAGAAAAAAAAAACAATGGTGAAGGTGGTATTTTAATACCCATAGTGTGGGAAACACTGGCTTTCCTGGTTATTACTAGTATCTAGTCAACTGTACATTCCTGCAGTATTCTCTGATGATTAGCTATTTTCCTAAATTTTTTAAATAATACTAAGCATTCTCCCACCGATTCTTCAATGAGGTTTCTCTGCTCCCTGGTAATCAACCCTGGGCACAGGGTTTCATAGTTTCCGAGTTATTGCACACCTATTATTTTGACAGAACTTGGAGGAACCCACCTCAGAAAAGTCTGAAGTCCTGAAGCAAATCAGGATTTGCTTGTAAATTATGTGTAAATTACATCACTGCTGTGAGTAGTAATCAAACTGTGTGTGGAGAACTGGGAACCAGGGAGGAGGACTAAAATCGCATATAAACTGTCCTGAAGGCACATTCAGGCACAACCTCCTCAGTCACAGCACCTGTTGCTCTGGAATTGGTATTATCAACGAGCAGTTCAGCTAGCTATGGTGTGATTCCAGATGTGCTGAGAGAACCTATATGACCAGTGTACGCTTCTTGTGATTCAAGGAACAGAGTTTGAAAGATGCTTTCATCACCCAACTGCATAAAAGCAAAATTTCTTGTTTTGGAAAAAATATATACCAGGCTAAAAAAAATTCAAAGAGTATGATGAGCGCATACAATGAAAAGTTTAAAGAGGGGAAGTATGTACCCCTGGCTACAAATGTACTAGCATATGCTTGGAATATTTTTGGAAAGATGCACAAGAGGTTATTTACAGTGGTTGCCTCTAGGGAGCTACTGGGTTCTGAAGTAAAAAAAATAGAACTTACTTTTTACAGATTCTTTTGTACTTTTCTAAATTTTTTTATTGGACTTTTTTTATTATGTGCATACATTAAAATGTCAATTAAAAACAAATTAATGAAAAACAAATACAGCTTTTGTTTTTATCATCACTGACGGGTCCTTGAAGCTCTCTCACTGCAGAGGCATGGAGCCAGGGTACCTCAATTTTAACGAGAGTGCAATATAAGTTACCTGAACCTTAGTTTCCTACCTACTGGTAGGCCAGCTGGGCCCAGAGCTCCCTTCTAGAAACAGAATTTAGCCTTTCCTGAGAAAAGGTGGGGAAAGTTCAGTTTGAATCGCAGCTGTGTGACTCATTGTGGAAAAGGAAAATTATTTAACTACTCTGAGGCTTTATTTCTTCATCTGTGAAATGGGGGAAATAATGACCAGTAGTAGACTTTTAATGACAGAGAGGGCTTTTATTTTTATTTTTTTTTTTTTTAAATTTTTTTTTTATTATTTATTTATGATAGAGAGAGAGAGAGAGAGGCAGAGAGAGGCAGAGACACAGGCAGAGACACAGGCAGAGGGAGAAGCAGGCTCCATGCACCGGGAGCCCGATGTGGGATTCGATCCCGGGTCTCCAGGATCGCGCCCTGGGCCAAAGGCAGGCGCTAAACCGCTGCGCCACCCAGGGATCCCCAGAGAGGGCTTTTATATGTTGAAAGGAGCACTCCCAATTACTTGCTTTTTTTTTTTTTTTTTTTTTTTAGGATTTATTTATTTAGTTTAGAGATCGTGAAGCACAAGTGGGATGGGCAGAGGGAGAGGGAGAGAGAATCTCAAGCAGAGTCAGCACTGACTGGGGAGCACACCATGGGGCTCTATTTCACAACCCTGAGATCATGACCTGAACTGAAACCAAGAGTCCAGTCAGTGCTCAACCTCAACTGACTGCACCACCCAGCTGCCCCCAATTACTTGCTTTTTAAAAAATATTTTATTTATTTGAGAGAGAGTGCATAGGAGGAGCAGCAGGAAAAGGGCAGAAGGAGAAGCAGGCTCCCCACCGAGCAGGGAACCCAACTCAGGACTGGATCTCAGGATCTCAGGATCATGACCTGAGCCGAAGGCAGATGCTTAGCTGACTGAGCCACCCAGGTGCCCTCAATTACTTGCTTTTTAATTAATATCCATTATGATAAAGGTTTTCATTTGTGAAGCTCTTATCTTTTAAGCTATGAAACACAATACACAGATATTATTTTTATATTGCATTTTATGCTACTATATATTAGATTGTATCTTTATAAATCAAATGGAATACCTTTCCCTCATTCTTTGATTACTGTTCAGTTCATAAATTTTATGAATGAGAATTGTTTAAATAATTACCTTGTATATAACTAATCAGATTCCTTTAGACATTTCAAACCACAAATACGAGTTAACTGTTATCTTATTCTCTCAAACATTTTATGATGCAGTCTTATAAAAAATCTTTGAGACTTTCAACAATTTTCTAATAGATCTGACTTATGAATTTAATCATATTTTCTTAAGCATATAAATGTCTTTTAAAATTACATATATATAAAACAACACAATGATCTTTAAAAACCTGCTACTAAACACTTTACATGTGAATATCACTACCTTAGTACAAAAATTTTAAGTAGTTTTCTGGGATTTTGCTCACCTGCCATCATAAGTCAGCTGAGGTGACTCAGTTGAAAATCAATCAGATTTTAAATCCGTATCTTGAGTTGTTATTCCATTTTGTTTCATAATTTTAGGTACCTATTGACTCTCACCCTGTGGCATTTTATTGATCATATGAAAGTTAAATATGATAAACATTCTTATCTGTATTCAGAACACCAGAGGTAATCAGTTGTTCATCACAGTTTTTTTGAATTCAAAAGCAAACAGAGGCAGATTGTGAATATTGGTCATTCCTCATAACAAAACCTTAATAAACTACATTTCCCTGCCTCTTTTGCAGCTGAGTATGGCCATGTGACTACTGGCCAATTAGATGTAAGCAGAAAAAAAAAGATGCAACTGTGAAAATTACAGAAAGTCTCCTAAAAAAGGAAGAGGTGTAGCCTTCAACTTACCTTTCATCTTCCAGTTGCTTCAGAAGGGAAGCTCCAGCAGTCATCAAGTGCCACAGCCCAGGGATGGCAAACACACAAAGCTGTAAGGAGTTCTACTCCTTGATGATTGTGGTGCACCATGCTACTTCTATACTGACCTGCAGATTTCTTTTAAGTGAAAGGAAGATAGCATTTTACCTTGTTTAAACTGCTATTTTTGAGGGTTTTATTACAGCTGAACTTAATCCTGACACATGGCTTATATAACTTCCTGTGCCATCTTCCTCAATATCAGAATCATGCACTGAGTTTAGAAAATCAAGAATATATATATTAGATTTATGGACATAGTCTTTATTTTTTTTAAGATTTTATTCTTATTCATGAGAGACAGAGAGAGAGAGAGAGGCAGAAACACAGGCAGAGGGAGAAGCAGGCTCTACTCAGGGAGCCCGACGTGGGACTCGACCCCGGGTCTCATTAAACCACTGCACCACCGGGGCTGCCCCACACATAGTCTTTATAAAATACTTTTTAGCTGTTGCCATATAAGATTGTAGGTTGATGAGTATTAAAATTTTTCTTGTATAATATTTTACAGATGCCAATTATTCTAATTATAAGATTAAATTATTTAAAGAATATCCAAGGGCAACTGGGTGGCTAAGTCAGTTAAGTGTCTGCCTTTGGCTCAGGTCATGATCTCAGGGTCCTGGGAATCAAGCCCTGAGTCTGGTTCCCTGCTCCCCTGAGCAGGGAGGAGTCTCCTTCTCCCTCTCCTTCTCCCTCTGCCCCTCCCCTTGCTCATGTGTGCATTCTCTAACTCAAATAAATAAATTTAAAAAAAATTTTAAATGAATATCCAAAATGTCCCCAGGTAGCATTAAGGAAAAAATAAAATAACATGAATCAATGCTGCTTGCCCCATGCCAGGATCAGCATAAGAGGTTGGCTGCAGGGGTCCATGAAGCAAGCTCTGGGCCCTCAGCCCAGTTCCCTGGAGTCTAGTGGGTACTAGCCTGTCACTCCTCACCTATGGACCCTCCTAGCCTTTGGCTCAACCTCTCCTACAATAAATACTGCCAGATGGGCTTTCCTCATCTATTGTTCCCAAAGAAGCTTGGCAGAAATATCACAGAAGTTAGAGGGGTTTTTTTGTTTTTTGTTTTTTTCATTTAGCACTTCAAATATTTGAAATTGTATAAGATGACTCAATTCCAGGAAACTTCAGGTATCCTGTGGCACTTGTTCAGTGAAGTGTTGAAAAAAGACCCACTCCAGGGTCTTACTGAAAGATGTGAGCAAGCCAACTTGTAGGAGGCAAGGACAAAATGTAACTTCAAAAAAGTGTTTCTTTCATTCCCTTGTGGTTTGCAGGTCTTCTCTGCCCCACTCCTACATTCTTCTCTTGAGCTCAGCCTCTCTGTGTGCTTGGCTCCACAAAAGCCCTGCCACTGGCTTCCCCATAGCAACTGGCTCACATGCTCCTCCAAATTCTATTTATGAATGTGTGTTTAATTATAAACCCTTTCAAATCCTTTGAGGGGAATATTTATTAAATGCTTATTATTAAAGCCTCTTTCTTAAACACTATCTTTTTTACATCTCGCATCTATCCTTCAAAGTAGGCTCTCTGAGACTCATTTTACAGATGAGAAAATGGAAACTCCTCATTCCACAGCAAGTACTTATTAGAGCTGTGCATTAATTTCAAATTCATGCAATTTTTTTCTCCTGTTTCCCTCAGCCATGCCAGAGAAACTGGTTGGTTAATCAATGTCACTTGCAACCAGCAGAATGGAAGGATCACAGCCTTTGGAATCAGACATACCCGTGTTTAATTCCATGTGGATATTTCTGAGCTATGTGATCATGGGCAACATATTTAAATTTGGTTCTCTCATCTGTAAAATGGAAATAATAGTAGCACCTATCTAGTGGGATTGTCAAGAGAATGTGAAAAAGAGCCTGCACAGTATTTATTCATTTATTCTTTTTTTAGAAATTCACTTTTTGGGGGAGGATTTTATTTATTTATTTATTCATGAGACACACACACACAGAGAGAGAGAGAGAGAGAGAGAGAGAGAGAGAGAGAGAGAGAGAGGCAGAGACCCAGGCAGAGGGAGAAGCAGGCTCCACGCAGGGAGCCCAATGTGGGACTTGATCCCAGGTCTCCAGGATCACGCCCTGGGCTGAAGGCGGCGCTAAACCACCGAGCCACCCAGGGATCCCCCAAAAATTAACTTTCAAGATGATGACTAAGCATTTAGCATTTGCCAGGTCTAGAAATTCCAATTGCTTTGATTTATTATTATTTTTTTTAAATTGAAGTTTAGTGGATATATGCTATATTACTTTCAGGTGTACAATATAGTGATTCAATAATTCTATACATTACATAATCCCCATCACAATAAATGTAGTTAACATCTGTCACCATACAACATAATTACAATATTATTCACTATATTCCTTACATTGTACTTTTCACCTCTGTGTGACACTTATTTATGACTGGAGGTTCATACCCCTTATTAACCATCTTCACCTATTTCACCCATCGCCTCACACACCAGATTGTTCTCTGTATTTAAGAGTCTGTTTCTGTTTTGTTTTTTAGATTCCATGTTTAAGTGAAATCATAGGATATTTGTCTTTCTCTTTGGCTTATTTCACTTTAGGTCCATTTACATTGTCACAAATAACAAGATTTCATTCTTGCTTATAGCCGAGTAATATTCCATTACACACACACCCACACACACACACACACACACACCCCACTGGGGTGCTTACATATCTTGGCTATTATAAATAATGTGGCAATAAACACAGGCATGAATATATCTTTTTTAATTAGTGTTTTCTTGGGTGAGTGGAATTACTGAATTGTATAGTGTTTCCATTTTTAATTTTTTTGAGGGAACTCCATACTGTTTTCCACAGTCGAACCAATTTATATTTCCACTAATGGTGTACAAGGGTTCTCTCTTCTCCCATATCTTCAACAACACTTGCTATTTCTCAACTTTTTTAAAAAAAGATTTTATTTATTTGAGAGAGAGTGAGAGGAAGAAAACATGCATGGACTGGGGGAGGGGCAGAGGGAGAAGCAGACTCCCTGCTGACTGGGGAGCCTGACTCAGGGCTCAATCCCAGGACCAATCCCAGCTCGGGATCATGACCTGAGCTGAAGGCAGACACTTAACCGACTGAGCCACCCACCCAGGTGCCCCTATTTCTTGTATTTTTGATGTTAGCCATTCTGACTAATGTGAGGTGATAGCTCACTGTGGTTTTGACTTGCATTTCTCTGATGAGTAGTGATGTTGAACATCTTTTCATGGGTGTGTTGCCAGCTATGTTTTTTTTTTTTTTTTTTGAAAAGTGTGTATTCAGGCCCTCTGCCCATTTTTAAAATCAGGTTATTTGTTGTTGTTGTTGTTTTTTGGCATTGAGTTAAATAAGTTCTTTATGTATTTTGGATATTAACCCCTTGTCAGATATATAATTTGTAAATATTATTTCCCATTCAATAGGCTGTCTTTTTGTTTTGTTGATGGTTTCCTTTGCTGTGCAAAGATTTGAGATAGTCTCAATAGTTTTGTTTTCCTTGCCTAGAGGAGACATTTCTATAAAAATATGGCTAAGGTCAATGTTCAAGAGTTATTGCCTATGTTTTCTATTAAGAGTTTTATGGCTCCGTGTCTCTCATTTACATCTTTTTTTTTTTTTTTACAGATTTATTTATTTATTCATGCGGGACACACACACACACAGAGGCAGAGACACAGGCAGAGGGAAAAGCAGACTCCATGTGACATGGGACTCGATCCCGGGTCTCCAGGCTCATGCCCTGGGCTGAAGGCGGCACCAAACAGCTGAGCCATCCAGGCTGCCCTGTATTGTGATTTCTTAATGAAGTTTCACAAACTTGCATACATATTAGTATTTACCCCTGGAGAAAAGTATTCCCAGTATAAGAGCCAGTTAGAGCAAAGTCTCTAAGGTAAGCACACCTGCTTTACTCAAGGAATATAGAGGAGGTCACAATGACAGGAGCAGAATGAGCAAGAGACAGACCATATTGAGTCTTGGAGGCCAATGCAAGGACTTTGGCTTTTATGGGAAGCCATTTTGGGTTGTGAGTAAAGTTTTGACACGATATGACTTACATTTCAAAGCATTGCTTTGCCTCGTATATTGAGATCAGGTTTAAGTGAGCAAGCAGAAGTAAGGGAATGGTTAGGAGGCAGTGGCAGTAATCCAGGGAAGAAAGGTGGCTTGGATCAGTATGGCAGCAATGAAAATGGAGAAGGGGTTGGATTCTTGACATATTCTGAAGGTCAAGACAACAGGATTTCCTGATGGATCGGATATGAGTTATGAAGAAGGGAAAGGAGTACATAAAGTAGTGAGACCGTATGGGATCACTAACAAAGTGAGCCTAGAGAAGGGAAGACGGCCAAGTTCTGAGGTAGGAAGCATACCAACTTTTCAACAAGACTTTGGAAACACTGGCCTTATATTTCATTGATGTAATACTTTCATATAAATGCTGAGATTTAATTCCTTCAGCATTCACTTGTAATTTAATCATTATGATTGTTAAATGAAACTAAGGTGTATATAAGGCTTAATCTTCCCTCACTCTGTGAAATTCAACTGAGAAGATGTATTACACAAGGTCAAAGAAAAAGGCATCAGAATTGGAATCTATAATCATTCTAGTCTCAGTTCTACAGATAATGGTTTTGTGAGCAAGTCATATAAACCTCCAGTCATTGATTCCTACATCAGTGAGACTAGAATATTGAAATGGATGTTGGGTCCTCTTCCATATTAATGTTATTATTTTTGAGATGAGTCTGTACTTGGTAAGGCTTGTTTTGTTTTGTTCTTGATATAGTATAAGGAAAATAATTTTGAGCAGAGGTATCTTGAAGAGTGCTTTAATTCTCTCCCTCACACTCTTCTTGGCCTGCAAGGGAAGGATAATGCCTAAACCAAATGCTTCAATCAAAATTGAGTTGGAACATGATGCCCTATCTTTGCAGGATTTCTTGGGGAATATACTATGTAGTTCCTGCTGAGAAAGGGAAGTTTCATTGGCCTGGCAACCTGGGGATCTCCTGTAGGTATTTCATCAGACTTTCTCCCTTAAGGAGAGTACAGGGCTGAATGAAGTCAGAAGTAGCAGCTCTTACATGTGTTGGATCATGAATCCCCTTGAGAATCTGATGCAACAGCTGCTCTATCCGGCCAAGAGGAAAAACATCATTGCCACCAAATACTAGAAATGGAAACCTTATTTTTTAATAAATGAAGAGACCGAAGATAGAAATAAAGAGACTTGAGCTTGGCCCTGCTGTTAGTAGGAAGCAGTGAATGCAGGACTAGATGTCTAGGTGTTGTCTCTTAGCCAATGTTCCTTCCATTAAATGATGTTGCCTTTTATATTTTCTCTATTTTCCTGCAAAGTTAGTTTCTTAAATGTTTGGGAGGGTGGGAGGGAGTGCATCATGTTTTGTTTTTAATTCATATTCCATAATATTCAACCATTTAAAGTGTACAATCAATGTTTTTTTTTGCATATTCAGAGTTGCGCAATCATCACCACTATATAATTTTAGAACATTTTATCACTCCAAAAGGAAACCTTGTACATAATAGTGGTCATTCCCATTCCCCCACCCCCAGCCCTAGGCAGCTACTAATCTACCTTCTATCTCTGGGATTTGTCTACTCTGGGCATGTTGTTTTTTGGTGACTGGCTTCTTTCACTTAAAATACTGTTTTCAAAGTTCATCCATGTTATAGCATGTATCAATACTTACTTCCTTTTCATTGCCAAATAAGATCTCATTGTATCGAATGTTTGTTTACCTATTTATCAGTGGATGAACATTTTTTTTTCCATTTTGTGACTACTATGAATAATAATGCTATGAACACTTGTGTACAAATTTTTGTGTAGACATAGGTTTCATTTCTCTTGCTATCCACCTAGGAGAATTGCTGGGTCATATGACAGCTCTATGTTTAACATTATGAGGAACTGCTAAACTATTTTCCAAAGTGGTTACAACATTTTATAACACTATTGACAATGTTACAGGTTCCAATTTCTCCACATTCTAGCCAATATTTCTTATTATCTTTTTAAAATTATAGTCATCCTAAGAGTGAAGTGTTGATATATGGGATTAGTGGCCTACACAATGTACACAGTAGAATTAAATAGTCAGGAGCTAAAATGGAAATTCAAAGCCAGATAATAAACTCTACCATCATTTTTTTTTTCAAGTCAACACTTAACTGAGCTTTTACTATGTGGCAGTTACTATACTAAGCATTGTCTTAGATTTCCTCCCTAACTTTGATCATACCACCATCACCAGCTACTGTTACTGGCCTATTTTATAAACAAGGAGACCAGCTAAAAGAAGTTAAGTTACTAGTGGCTGGTAGGTGGCAAATCCAGGATTTAAGTATAGGGCTGTCTCCTGCTGAAGTCTTTAACCACCACACTGTACTGCTAAATATTTTATCTAGTAGATTTCCTTTTCCAAAATGAGTCTAATCAATCATTACTTTCAAAGTTTTACCCTCACCATGCATCGTCTCTAGCTCCCAGGGTATCTATAGTTATTCTCAAATTTAGTACCAGAATCACCTACTTCGATATGCTTTGTTAGCTTTGTAAGTGTGTCTGACTTTTACCAAACTTGGAGAACCACTGAGTCTGTTAGAATTAAATTCAACTGCAGTTAACAGAAATGGTGCCATAAACAAGACAGAAGTTTATTTTTCTTACCTGTTAAGAAGCCCAGAGATAGTTGGTCACTCTAGGGTCAATATCAACCTCTGTGGATTGGGAACCAGGCTCCTTCGACCTTTGTTTTGTATGGCTTCAATTTTTTCCAAAATCATTTCACTATCCAATTGGCTTCTGGAGCTTCAACTATTATATCTGCATTCCGACAAGCAAGAAGTGGAAGGGAAAAAAATACACACCTTTCCTTTAAGGACTGTCCAAGAATATGCATATATCACTTCCACTTAATTTCACTGGCCAGACTTGAGATATAAGGCCACACCCTGATGCAAGGGAGGCTGGGAAAAGTAGTCTTAGATTCTGAGTGGCTATGTAGTCAATGAACTATTAGAGGTTCTCTTATGATGGAGGAATTAAGAGGGGTGAATGTTTGGGACAATTAATCTCCATCACACCCAGGAAGGAAGAAAATTTACCTAATTCCTATTTCTACTACTATTTACTACTCCTATTTTGTCCTACTTCGACAAAAGACCTTAGAGAAATTCTCTCTGTAACAGATTTTAGATTCCATAATGAAGGTGACTAAGGCAATGGCTCTTAAACTTTGCTGCACAAGGGAATCACGTAGGGGTCTTAAAAACTACTGATGCCTGGCTTCCTTGTCCAATCATTCTGATTTAATCGGTGTAGAATGGAACCCGGGCATCAGGTATTTAAAAGCTCCCATTGTTATTCTAATGTGTAGCAATGTTTGGGAACAACACTCCTAAATTTTGAGGATCTTCAACCTAAGATCCATTGAGTATGGATTTATTCCATCAATGGCCTTTCTCTGAACTCAAATGCCAGCAGTTGGACTGGTACATGTTCCTGGTATTAAGGTTAGGTATGATCAGGGTAAATCTAATGCCAGCGCTGCAAAAGACAATTCAGAGGGCATGTTCTTCTGACAATAGCCCAGTGACATTTTTATGTACAGAGGAGAACACATTTTAATTGTGGCTATATTTAAACACATGCATTATTTCTGTGTGGCATGAAAATAGCTATTCTGGTTGTGTGTGTGTGTGTGTGTGTGTGTGTGTGTGTGTGTGTGTGTAGCGGGACTCAGCCCTGATGGTGAGTCATCCTTGAGCACAACATTTACATTTCGAACACAAGAACCTATTCAATTCAAATTCAGAGGGTCCTCTCTATTTGGCAGTATGCTTGTCATTTAGAAGCTCAAAAGAGCCTTTTAGAAATCCAAACAGTTTTGAGCTAGTTGGCATCTCAAACTATTACTAGCTGTCAGATATTTTATCCATTCAAGCAGATATCGGGCAAAGGTTATATTTTCTTTGAATTGTTAATGCAAGGTCTGTCTTTTAAGTTGAGATGTGAAATGAGGAGAAGAATAATAAAATAGAAAATTTTCAAAGAAGAAATCTAGATAGGTCATTTCATCCACCTCTTCACCTTCAGATAGAATGACATTAAAACACTGTAAGTAGATAAGAATCTATACTATTTTTATAGTTCTTAAATGACAAGATTGCACAACCCTGTTCTCATTGCACTACATTTCATTGTAACAATTTGCAGCTAGAAAATACTTCTTTGCACTGAACCCAAGAGCTCTGGCCAAGTTAATCCCATTTCCTCCTTGCTAGTCTTCAATTCAGATGGACAACAGCATTCTTTGTGAAATTTTCTCACACACTTGGAAACGATAATTAAATAAGTCTCCAGGTTTCTCTCCTCTAATCTGCATAACCTCCCTTCATATCGTCCTTTTAGTGTTCAACTGCAATCACCTTCATGGCAATCTTCTCTTAACCATGGGATTCCCAGAATTGTCTGCATTTGGAATGACCTGAGGAACTTCAGTGTCTACTCATGCTGGTGTCCCACCCCAACAGATATGATTTAATTGAAGTATATCCTGAACTTTGGAATTTTTAGAAGATTCCCAAGTAATTCAAAATTGTAGACAAGTTTGGGAATCACTATCTGAACTCACCCTCTTACCCTCACCTCCTTCCTCCTTGCTAATAGACCCTCAATAACAGTCCCAGATTAGGCGCCATGATTGACAATAACACTAAACAGTGGTTCCCAGCCCTGGGAACATTAGAATCACCTGCATAGCTTTGACAATAGGAATGCCTGGATCCCACTGATAAACTACAACAGAACATCTACCGTGGGACCCAGGGAAACTGTGCCTTTAAAAAATGCTCTCCAGGGGCAGCCTGGATGGCTCAGAGGTTTAGCACCTGCCTTCAGGCCAGGTCCTGATCCTGGAGACCCAGGACCCAGTTCCACATCAGGCTCCCTGCATGGAGCCTGCTTCTCCCTCTGCCTGTGTCTCTCCCTCTCTCTGTCTCTCTTTGTGTCTCTCATGAATAAATAAATAAAATCTTTTAAAAAATCCATTAAAAAAATAAAGTGCTCTCCAGATATTTTTAATCCACCACCAGGTTGGAACCCATTGGTGGAAAAATCTGATTTAAAGTGTTTTCCAGGGCACTTGGGTGGCTCCGTGGTTCAGTGTCTGCCTTTGGCTCAGGGAGTGATCCCAGAGTCCTGGGATCGAGTCCCACATCGGGCTCCTTGCAGGGAGCCTGCTTCTCCCTTTGCCTGTGTCTCTGCCTCTCTCTCTGTGTCTCTCATGAATAGTTTAAAATCTTAAAAAAATAAAAAAGACAGTTGCATGACCCTGAGAGTAAATGCCTCCTTAAACTTTGTGCCCTAGGCACCACATCTAGCCTCATCCTAGCCTCCACTCTGATTCAGATAAAATTTAACAGCTGGTACCTGTCAAATAATCTTATACAAAACAACCAGTTAGATCAACTAAAATATTAAGTTTTTCAGTGGTTGTTCCAAGTGTCCTAAAGCCAAACAAATTTATCTAGAAATGATGCCACATGCAGCGTGATCTCAATTTGGGGTACGCATCTTGGTATCAGATGACATCAATATCCCTCTGAGTTAAAAAATAACTACCACGCTGATTGTCTCAGTCCCTGTTCACCCACATGAAAACCGGAATGTGATCCTGTGAGAAAAGAATTTAATTAGGTGAGTCAATGGGTGTCAGCTAGCACGGTGGCGGCAGAACCGAGGACTAGGATCCTCGTGCAACTACTAAGGAGTCAAGTAGCTGTTACTCGAATTAAAAGTGGAAACTAGTAGGTGTTTGTAAAAATGTGTCGAGCTTGGCTATTCCTGCTTCCCAAAGCGTTTTAGGACAAACATATGCAGCGGTCTCCCAGAAATAGAAGTGTGGGTAACTCAACCCAAAGTTGTGGTTCCTGTGTCCAGCCTGTGTTGGGTGGTGCGTCAGCAGAATGAACGGTGAAGAATCTCAGTGGGCTGACATTCTGGAGCTTCCTCAGAATGCCTTGTTCGGGCTGGCAGGGAAGTAGGGGGTGCTGGCTAGGCAGACAAAGGGGAGTCTGCAGGTTGAGGCAATACCCATGGCTAGGACTAGAGCTTTAGATGGACCAGTTCCACTCCACATTTCAGGACTCTGACTTTTGCTTTCATAGGTGTAGCACTGATGGAGACAGCTGGTGGCCAGTAGCAGGAGGACAACCTCAACCAAGGGACCTATAAAAGGGCCCTCTTGTCATACCCTGCCCCTTGCTGCGGAGGTGATATTCAAGCCCTTCTCAGCTTAGTGTGGCTTGTGGGTGCTCTAGCATCAGTTCGGAAAATATTTAACAATTTGTTGTTAAAAATAATGACTACTCTTTCCGGTCTGATGTGTGCTAGACCACTCCAACTGACTCCTCCTTGCTCTGTGACTGTCTCAGACTTAGGGCAGTAGGACTCTATGTCCTGTACCTTATTGCAGGGAGGGATGGGTTATGGTCCTACCTGTGAACTGAGAACTGAGTAATTGTTGTCTTAAGGCTGTTTCCCTACTTCCTTTTCTGACAGTCTTCAGGCAGGTAAGGAGGCACTCAGCAGCAACTGGCAAACTGGACCTGGATTAAATCAACACCTGAATGTGTCAGAAAGTTTGGATGGAGTCCAAAATGTGTTTGCCAGCCAGAATGACTAAGAACCCACACCTGGTGCCAGAGTGCAACACAGACCTGCCAGCGCACTTGGACAGATCTGCGGTGCTCACTGGAATCCATGGTCCTGGTACAGGAAGTCCCAGGTGACTCTGCCCCCAAAGTCACACTCCTTCAAATACAAAGGTTGGGTGTTTTTATGAGATGCATCCTGAAGTATGAAGAGAAGAAATGACGTAATGTCTGGGATTTGCTTTAAGAATATTTAAATATAAGAACTTCAAAGAAAAAGAAGTGATACAAGAGGCTGGATGAAATGTGGCAAACTGGGATTATTATTGAATCATGATATGGGGTAAATAGGGATTAATTATGCTATTTTTTTCTAATTTTGTATATTTGAACACTTCCATAGTTAAATCTGTTTAAAAAGCTAAATTGATCTTTATAAACCTCATAAAGCTTGTTTGCAATGAGTCTACGCATAATACCCACCTTTGCATAATACCCACTTCTTTGAGATGACAGCAAGAAATAGGGAGCCCAACTATATGGAATCTGGATTGTCCTTTCCACCCAGTCCCAACAACCCCTCGCCTGTGCTCAGGACCCTTATTTTGCAGTGAAAAGATGGCAGGTCTGGGGCTCAAGAAATCTGGGTGCAAGTTCGGTCTGTTCATTAACAATGAGACCTCGGATAAATCGCTTGCTCTGCAGCTTCTTTCCTTTCTCTGTAAACTGGAGATGATCCTGTAATAACACCACCCTTGTGGGTTATTGGAGGATCACATGAAATCAGGTACCTTGTAAAGTGTTAAGGAAGTGTTGTCAGCACCAGCAGCATGACCTTGGATCAGATGGCCAAGTGCTCTGACCTCAGAGTCCTCAGTTATGAGAGCGGAGAGTACACAGCATTCCCAAGGCTGTGGGAGAACCACCCAGGAAACTTATACAGCTGGTTCTGCTTTGCAGCCTAGTTGGGGGACAGCTGAGTTAAGTAATGGCAGTAGTCCATTCATGTTCTAGCAGTGAAATGGCTGTTGGGGGATTAGGAGTCTACTGTGCCAACTTCCGTTGACAGCTAGGTACAGGTCACAGTTTGGTGGTAATTTCATGGTGATAAACAGTTAAAGAGAACCATAATATCTGCAATAATGAGGAGGAAATCTGAACTGGTCTGAGGTGAACCAAGATCTTTATAGCTAGGAGTAGGCAGACAAATTAAGAGAGTGGAGGGGCTCAGCTGTTCTGCTCAAGCAGCTGTTACATAAAATGACTGGTAAGGGACTTTCCTGAGCTACCTGGGAGAGCTTATAAGCAGGAGAGCAACTGCCTCAGGTGAGAGCAGCACCCATAATTTCTGCAGTCTTGGGGACCTTTGGGGTGTCTAGTTTAGATAGCAGGGCCACATGTGGGAGGGTGACCTTGTAATCCTGGCTCTAGGCCTATGCCTTCTTCACTGGTAGGCCCATGAGATTGGCTGCCCACCATGCCCATGCCCATCTCACTGACTATCTCTCTGCTTTTCTTTGCAGAATATTCCAACATTTGTGCATACTTGTTTCCAAGTTGTTTTTCCCACATTCTGATTTCAGAATTCTTGTTTGTCTCATGTGAAGAACAATCCAATTCAGTATTTGTTGACTGCTTGTTATGTTCAAGCCCTTGTGCTACTGACCTCAGATGTTATAAACGAGAGGAAAAAGAAGGTTTCTCCTTAAAGCCCCAATCTAATGTGGGGAAGGAGTAGGGACTACTAAGATAAGCACACAGGTAATCCCAATATACAAAGAATCTGGCAAGCACCACAAGAATAGTGGGTCGTGAAAAGATTTTAAGGAGAATGGTCATATTCCAAAGACTTGATGGAGAAAATTTATTAGAGATGGGTCTTGAATGGTCACTACATTTCCTAGAGGCAGAGAAGGATGGGAACAATACTTGGGGAAGAGGAGGCACAGAGGTAGGAAAAGGTGGTACGTGTTTGGAGAACAGCAAGCAGTGCCATTTTGTCTGCAACCTGGAATGAGTAGAAAACCAAGAGGACACGGATGTAGGCTGGGGCCATTAGGAAAAGGCACTTACTTCAATTTTCTAAGCAATAAGGGCCCCTGAAGGTTTTTAAGAAAAGGCCAGAGATGAGTACTTCGAGAATATTGACTTAGTGCCGGTGTGCAGACTGGAGAGCCAGACGGACCAAGCTACGTAGTATGGAGAACACAAGAGGCTGCTGGCCCTCAGGCCACAGAGGCCACCACATGCTGGTACACAGAGTGCAGGAAACCATGGAGTCAGGCTAAGGAGGAGAGGTCTCGAGGTATTATTCTTAAGACTCCACTTTTTCTGAGGTAAAAAGCTCTCTGTTTTAGACATACCCTTGAGGTCTGGAGAGGTCAACATTTTCCTGTCATACACTGGAAAGACAAAATCAAGTTTTCATCCCAAGTTGATCTTCTTTCAACACTGACAAATTCACTTTCTTCTAATATCCATAGCTATTCCACTGGGATCCATAAGAAAAAACAAAAATGGCTGAGTTGAAGGCCAGAGTAGCCTGCCTTCCTTGTGCCTTAGAACTTCTACACAGCCCTGAGTATGAATGATTTTACTCTTTCATGTAACAGTTTCCTTCCTCCTCCTGCTATGCTCTCAGTTCTATTCCTCCCTGCTTTTCATAGCACCTGTGAGGTCTCTTGCTTGAATGGCTCCATCCCTCCAACATCCATCTTGCTGCTTCCCTCTATACTCCTCCTGCTTCAAATCACCATCTCTCACTTCAGCCACTGTAAGGACCTCCTCACTGTCTGCTTATGCTCTTGTACCTTTCCTGGCCCCACTCGTCAAGCCACAGCCAGATAGATATCCACAGTGGTCCTTTCCAGAGTGAAGTAACACCATATGATTATCTCATTTCAACCCTCCAACAAGCATGCCCCACAGGTTAACATCTGAAGTCCTTAGGATGGCCTATATGGTCCTTCATGACCCAGCCCCTGGCTCCCCCCTTTCCCTTGTTCTGCAGCTACCCTGGCCTCCTTGCTGTTCTCATACCCACCAAGCATGTGCCAGGCTTAGGCCTGGCCCTTGCTTTCCCTCTACCTGGAATGTTCTCCCTATTTTTATGGCCCACTCCTCACTTTAGGATTCTGTTAATGCCACCTCTTCAGAGAAGCCTTTTTGGACCACCATGTCATGATCTATTAACTTACCTTGCTGTGTTTCTCTTGGTAGCACTGTGGACTACAATCAATCTTTGTGTGATGTGTGTCTTCTCCCAGAAAATGTAAGCTCCATCAGGACAGGGTCTCAGTTTTGCCTGCCTCTATTTGTTCAGGGCCTGGAAAAAAGCCAGGTTCTCAATAAATACTTGCTGAATGAATGAATGTAGAGATCTCCTCTCTAGAAAACACTTTCCTTTGGCTCTGCTTCTGTTTCTTGGTTCTCATTTGCTTTGGTCTTTGAAGGTTTTAACTTAACAAAATTTAAAACTTAACAAAACAAGGGGCCTTGCCCCTTGACTGGCATGGAACTAAATGTTTCTCTTCTTCCATATCACATCATTTACGATACTTCCATGGACTCCCAAAATTTAAATTTGCTCCAAGATTTACTCCTTACTCTCCTTTTTTTCCTTTCCCTCTCTCTTCATCTCTTATCTTTGTGCAGATGATGACCTAATATTATTTTCAGCCTAGACCTCTGTAAACTCAGTCCTTCCAGTGCCTAGTGGGCATCCTAATGGCACCTCATATTTCATATACTTAAAAATTTCTTCCTCCTCCTCACCTTTCTATGTGTTAATAGTACCACTATTTCCTTGGCTCCTAAGTTAGAAGTCTTAGAATCATTTTTTTATTCCTCCTTCAGACCTTCTTTCCTCTTTCACCAATATTACTGGATCTTCCTTCTAAATGGCTCTTAACTCTAATTAAGAGTTAGACCACCCCCCACAACCACCACCCTCGTATGACCATTGCCTGCTTGGCCAGAAGTAGCCTGACCTGTTTGATGTTCCCTCCCTGCTTGTAGGCCCTTATCTGAGCCACCCCCCTACCCCATCTCCGCTTCAAAAAGCCCCTGTAGGCTCTGTTCCAGCAAGCATCAACTCACTGATGACCATGCATTTCCAGTGCCAGTTTGGCTTTTTGCTTGTCCCTGCACTGCCCAAGGCTTTCAGTCCTCCTCTTAACTGAATGTCTAGAGGCCACATGGGCCAGACCCACTCATATCAGAGCCTAGGCCCCAGCTCCCATTTCTTGGGGAATGAAGTTTAAGCTTACCTCTTCACCAGCAGCCTGTTTCCATTCTCCCCTCCTAATTCCTAGCTTCAAAGAAAAGAATCATTTTTGAAATGATTTAAGCCTTTAAGCCTTGTCTACCCTACTAAAAAATTAATGGCTCTCTATTTCCTATAGAATGAAGACAAAATTCCTCAGCTTCAAATTCAACTTTGACTGTGGTCTACATTTTTAGCCATAGGATTCCTAGAATAGGCCTAAGACACAAATGCTTAGAGGGGCTGGGAAGGTAATGGGAGTGAATATATGGGTCCTGTATAACACGGTGAGGAGTGGTGGCTACCGTGGCAAACTGGAGGGGCTGCGCCCAGCTGTTTAAAGAGCTAGCTGTTGGCATACAGAAATTTGAGCCTAGGATTGCCAGATGTTCTGAGTATTCCACAGAAACTGGAAATCTGAGGTTTTAGGCCAAATTTCTGGAGTTCATATGTATGTGTGTGTATATATGTACATATATACACACACATACATATACATACACATATCTATACATGGTCTAATACATATATACCATGTATATACCAGTAATACATATTATGCCATATGGTATAAGACTTACATATATATATTTCATGTGAGTGAATACATACACACACACACACATATGTGTGTGTGTGTGTGTATATATATATATAAAATGAATGACTATGGTACAGTGATCTAATACACACACACATACACATATATGAATTAATATGGTACACTGCAAATCATATCTGCAGGCTGGATACAACCACAGAGTTACCAGTTTGGAATTTGGCCTCTATATCTCCCAAACCAGCCAAAATCTCTGAGCGTACACTTGTTAAAACAATAATAATAGCAATAAGCAAGTGTTAGAACAGTGTTACAGATTGAGTTCCAAACTAAGACCTTATCCTTGGTGTAATCAGAAGGAGAATTAGAATGGTGGTAATTTTCTCAGGATGTGACTCAGAGGCATTTGCTGCCCTGTCAACATACAATTTAAAGCCATCCTGTAGCACCAGCAGCAATAGCCCAGTTTATGAAATCACAGACACAGCATTTCCCACCCTGGTATAAGGTATATGAGAAATGCTTGTTGGAGTACATAGATAGCATTTCTAGAGACCTGTAAGTCACCATTCTTCAAAGAGTCTGTGTTCCAAACATTTGTTTTTCAAGGTTTTCTGTTTTCAACATGGTCCCAGAAACAATGATATAAATAGGACCACAGAAGCCATACTGCCAATGGATTACTTTATATTTGCAATGAAAAAGAGTAGCAAAGAAGGTTGTTGCAAATATACTGGTGTGGTGCTTCAATCCCACAAACTTCCTTTGCCCTAGTGGCCCTGGTCAGAAATAAACCTCTAGTAGGCAGGCCTTCAAAGAGGAGCATGGACACAAGGGTGATTGAGAAGAGTGTTTAATAGCATGGTTTCTGAAGTCCCTCTAATCACACACTCTGGACTTTTCATTGGCATTGTCCCAGGAATGGCCTTTCTTTGAGCCTTGGGGGCTTTGGGGTTTGGCTTGAAGTAAAGAAGGGAAGGGCATGAATGTAGGGAATATCCTCCCAGCTGTCCTGGAGCTGAAAGGGGCAACAGGACAAGGCAGTTTTCCTTCTTGACAAGGATGCTAGTGCAATGAGGTTGAGAGTGGGAAGGGAACCACATCAGGAAATGTCTCTTAACTTATTTTTTATTTAGGTCAAGGGTCCCCCTCCACCCCCCACTCCTCCCAGGCCTGTCTCTCCCCAGGAGCAGGCTGGAGACATTGCCTTTACATAGTATTTCACTCCTCCAGAAGTTCAGCAAGTACAGCTGACAGCACCCCAGGGGACTCCTACCATTTCCTCAGTCTCCAGGGAGATGCCTCCTGAATGAAAGGATCTAAAAAGAGACACACACACATTTATATACACGCCTTCCTGTTCTCTCAAGCACCAGAATATTTTCTGCTCTGTGCTCCCACACTCCACAGCCTCATTATCTTCTGAGATTTTTCTCTCCTTCCTCATACCACTGCCTCTGCAACCACCCCCACCACACACACAGTTTCCTCTGTTATCTCTGAAGGCTAGGAGAACTACTGAGAAGAGAGGAATGTTTCTAGAGCTTTATCTTCCTCAGTTCCGCCTCAGCCTCAATGTGTGAATACTAGGAAAGCTGTTCCCGGAAGTGTTGGATGGCATATCGCTCTTTCCCCACCCTGTTCACTACCCCTCAACCCCCACTCCCCATTGATCACTGAGCCTATCACTCATTTCAAAGCTTCTGTTTAAACCTAACTTTCTTCAGTCAAGACAGCCACAAAAACTTCAAGCTCCTTTTCCTCCTTCTCCCTCTCCTACCCTTTGCTCCACTCTCCCATCCCCCTAGTTCGGGAGACTGGGCTGGTTTTTCTATTTTTTCCCATTGATGAGACATAAAGCTAAAAGTAAGACAACACAGGTGTTCTACATTTGTTTGTAAACAATATTTTACCTTTTTTTTTAAAAAAAGATTTTACTTTTTATCCATGAGAGACACAGAAAGATGCAGAGAGAGAGGCAGAGACATAAGCAGAGGGAGAAGCAGGCTCCACGCAGGGACCCCGACATGGGACTCAATCCCGGGTGTCCAGGATCACGCCCTGGGCTGAAGGTGGCGCTAAACCACTGAGCCACTCGGGATGCCCTATTTTACTTTTTTTTTTTTTTTTTAAGATTTTATTTCTTTATTCATGAGAGACACAGAGAGAGGGCAGAGACGGAGGCAGATGGAGAAGCAGGCTCCATGCACGGAGCCCGATGTGGGACTCGATCCCGGGACCCTGGGGTCACGCCCCGGGCCGAAGGCAGCGGCTCAACTGCTGAGCACCCAGGCATCCTTATTACTTTCTAAATAATATACTAAATGACTTTCTTCAACCTCCAAACCTCTCCTCAGGTGAAGCACTTTTAAATATAATGCAGTGGCTCCAGCTGTTAATCTGAAAAGTACAATAAAAACACTACGAGAGCTCTTCTGCCATCATTGGCACTGTCCTCGGCACAACTCGCTCAGTGGCTCTGCCTGAGAGAATCCACCGCCCCCCACCACCTGGCAAACCTCACAGCAGACGGGATCTGGGCCATGATGGACAAGAAGGCCAACATCTGAAACATGTCTATCATTGCCCACGTGGACTACGGCAGATCTATGCTGATGGACTCACTGGCGTGCAAGGTTGGTATCACTGCTTCCGCCTGCGCTGGGGATACCTGCTTCATGGATGCCTGGAAGGGCGAGCAGGAATGCTGCATCACCAAGTCAAGGGCCATCTCTCTCTCCTACGAGCTCTCAGAGAACAACTTGAACTTTATTAAGCAGAGCAAGGATGGCTACAGCTTTCTCATCAACCTCAATTCCCCCTGACATATGGACTTCTCCTAGGAGGTGACTGCCACCCTCCGTGCCACCGGCGGAGCCTTGGTGGTGGTGAACCACGTGTCTTGTGTGTGTGTGTGCACATGGACACAAGCAGACAAAGATGATGCTGTGGCAGGCCATTGCTGATCATAGCAAGCCTGTGCTGATGATGAACAAGGTGGACTGGGCTCTGTTCGAGATGTAACTGGAACCTGAGGAGCTTACCAGCCTTCCGGAACATTGTGGAGTGTCAATATCATTTCCACCCATGGGGAAGGGGAGAGTGGCGCCAAGGGCAACAACATGTTGGGACTGGTGGCTTCGGGTCTGGACTCCATGGTTGGGCCTTCACCTTGAAGCAGTTTGTAGAGACGTATGTGGCCAAATTTGCTGGACGTGATGAAGAAGCTGTGAGGCGACCGGTATTTTGATCCAGGCCCTGGCAAGGATTTGGCAAGTCAGCACGAGGCCTGATGGCAGGAAGGCCCCATGGCTGTCAGCATCTCTCAGGCCCTACCTTCAGGGTGCTTGACGCAACCATGAGCTTTAAGAAAGGGCAGACAGCAGGCTGATTGAAAAGCTAGACAGTGAAGACCAAGACCAAGAAGGCAAACTGCTCTCAAGGCTGTGATGTGCCGCTGGCTTCCTGCCAGGGATGCTCTGCTGCCAATGATCACCATCTATCTGCTCCATCTGCTGTGATCTCCTGCATGAGGGGCCCCTGGCAACGAGGAA